TCTTTCATGGATTTTTTTCCATATAAAGCTCTTTGAGTTGCTATGACAACAGAGACGGCACACCAAGTTAGATGTCTGCATGATACAGAGCGCAACAAATGTCAGATTAGACCAGTGTGGATCAATGTTAGATCGCAGTCTCACAGCACCCCCTTCCCCCCAACGTCCTCTCTGTTGCTTCTCCACTCTGAAATCTTCAGCCATTTCAGCAGCGGTTCTGGACTTGCAGTGCAGACGAGCAAAATAAGCCCAGCTGAAGGATCCCACCTGGGGTTTTAATGATATTCAGGTTGGAATAAATGCAGGGATATCTTGTCTTTCATTGACATATATTTACACCTGTTTCCTTAGTTTGTTTGTTTGTTTGTTTGTTTTTTAGCTTTAAAATCCTTCTTCCTGAACCTTTTTATTTTATGTGATACATCTGTGATTTGAAGCCATGGGAGACTTAGGGCTAAGGTGTTTAGAAAATACATTTTTATACCATTTATTTTTACTTTATCATTCAATTACTTTTTTCCATTTTGAACTGACATTTTGTTTGATGCTTTTTTATTACCTCCACTTGCTTTGTTTACATGCTACTTTTTTATTTTTTATCTTTGGACCATTTTCTATGCTCATGTCCTGTGGTTGTTTTTCTGTTGTCTATTTTTGAACACCTGCTTACAGTTCTCTGACCTCTGACCTCTGGCTTACTGCCCTTATTGGCATATATAAGCCTCTGCCCCATTGCTTCCAATGTCTCCAAGGAAAAGTAAGCGTACCATAGACGTTTATGCTGTCGTTACACTATGAAGTCCTTCTTTGCTAACAGCAAACGTGGTTCTTTTCAACATAGGTAGTAGTTACTTTGGCTTTTCTCAGTGTCCAGTTTTGCTTAACGATAATGAATGTGCAATATTTCTAGAAAAGCTTATAGACAATGGTGTAGGAAAGGTAGCAGGATTACAGATGGAACCAACATCTGGGCCCATGACCTGTCCGTACCCCTGAGTAGTTGAAGCTCTGTAGAAAAAATAAGCCTCGGGAAAAAGAAGTGAGACGGTAGAGAGCCACTGATAAGGAAGTCTAGATGTAGCCTGAAGCTATGCTACAGTAATGGAACTGTAAAGTGATTTTTTCTTTATTCTTATTATTTGGAGTTGTAGAAAGTGCATGAAGAAACGTGTGCAACTGAACCAAAGCAACGTTGCTATGTATTTAAAAGAGAGGAGGGACAACTGAAGGAATTTTGTCATGAATCCACTCCTTATTTAATTCTGAACTCACACTGATTGACTTCATACCAGGAGTGTGAAAAATGCTTCTCCATCACCAGTACTGAGAAATGAACTTGATGCTCTTCTGTGCTTTGTACATAGCGTTTTTTGGCATTATTGAGATCAGATTGAGCAACATCAACGTTTCCCTTTCTTTCCCTTCACAGACAGAAGGTTTCACATCGAGGGCAAATATCTTCCCTTCAACTAAATGCAAAAACACTTGCTTTGCTTTTACCGTGGGCACAGCGCTGCTGCAGGTACAGTCAGGTACTCTCCAGTACGACATCAAACAGAGCTTGTACAGAAGAGTTATTTTAGCACGTACAAATTTTGACACTAGAATCATTTGATTTCCTTTCAAACACCTGTCTCCTGACATTTCAGTAGAATGTCAGACGGCCGCTCTGTTTGCTGCTTTTTCCTGTGCCTGGGTTGAGGCAGCTGGTTGCCTTTTGACACACACACACATACAGGCTGTTTTAGGGGTTTTAAAGAATGTGAAACACACACATGCTGCGTCCAATTAAATACATCTAACAACAAGCCAGTAGGTGGTGTAAAGGATGAATCCCGCCCTTCCTGTCCTGTTGTTTTCCCTTGTAAATACATCGAGAGTGAGAGGGACCAATGATCAAACCTACAGTCAACTACTACCCAGAATTGTACACGGGTGAAAGAGTCTTGTTACGTATTTAATAGCCTTTGTTACTGACCAGAGTTTGGAGTCTGCATCTTGTTTTGTGTGGTGATCGGGTCCACCAGCCGGAATGTGACGGAAGTGTTTCCTTTATTTATTTGGGATTTGGCCTTGGGAATTATGTTAAGAAATAATAATAATAAAAAAAAGTGTGTGTTGTAAATACTGTACTTAAAAAAAAATGTTCTAACACCTGAGCACAATCTTCCAAGGCGCAGTGTTTGACTGGTGTGATAAGCGACTTGATTAGAATCATCCTGAAGCCAGAGTTTCTATAGCAACGAAGGCCAGCGATGTGTCTGTGTGAATGTGGTTTATGAAAGACCGTGATGCCAGAGAGGAACACGCAGTCCTGGGAGTCAACCTCCAATCATCTTGAGTAAACAAAGGATCTATTTTTCCTCCCCGGCAGTGTCAGGATTCTTCAATGCGTTTAAACACAAAAGTGTGAATCATTTCTTTTAACAAACCTCCTACTCATTACATCCAACAACTGCACGACCGTTCATTCATCTGGAGGCTGCAGCATCACATAAATTCACTAAACTCTTCATCGAGGACATGGAGTGGTCCA